CCTTTCGAGGAAAGCTTTCTTCATGACCGCCCATGTACCTATACTTTCCGAAGGAAGATAGAATAACCAATCCTTTGCGGTATCCTTTAGAGAAAATGGAAAAGCCCGCAGTTTGATTTGTTCTTCCGTCACACCGTTTGGACACATGCTTGTGCAAACGACGTGAAATTCTGAGAGGTGTTTGTTCGGATCCTCTCCTCTCAGGCCATGGAAGGATGGCAGCAGATGAATGAGCCCAGATTTTAGCTCAAACGTATTACCCTCATCAAGTGTATGGAAGGTAATGCACAGTGGTTGTTGATTCAAGTTTGGAGCTGTGAGCTCCCTTAGTGTTCTCGTTTCAAGAGCCATGTGAAAGGACTCTTCAGATTCGCTAGAACTAGAGCTAGCGGTGTATGAATCTCCGGTAGATGATTCTTCCGAGTCGGTATTAGAAAATTTACTTTTCAACCGCTCGAAAGTTTGTTCTATTTCTGGGTTTTTGTGATATGTGATTTCGTTTATGGAACGATGTTTAACCATAAACTCCACTAAGCTCAGAAAACTAGAAGAATAAGAACTATTTATATTTTATTTATTATAATTTTTTTTGTTTTTTCTTGAAATGAAATAAAAGAAAAATAATTGCCTGTCCCCGGCAACGGCGCCAAATTTGACGGGCACTTGTCATAAGATTCACTCAAAATAAATACAATACAACGATTATACGTAGTATAACGAAGTAAGGTTCGTATCCACAGAGAAAGGAATACTTATCTTTTATATGAATAGTAACAAAGGGAGGGGGGTTGTGATTGTAGATGTAATTAAGAATATTTGAAACTAAGATGACTGATTTTATGTGTTTTACTTGATAGATGTGGAGACTTGACAATAATTTAGGATCCTGTCGCATGAGAGATGAGTCTAGTCCCCTAAATTATTGTACTCTACACCGTGAGAGCGGTAAGAACTAAGTAATGATTAGCTAGGCTCAATTAAATTAATTTCATATGATTAAGTCTGATCAGCCAGAAATCTGGTTACCCCGGAATCAATCCCTGCTCCCTTCGTCGTTAATTAGAGAGAAACCAACCTTTATTTATTAGTTAATAATTTGCATTTTAATTTCCCAAACCAACCAATCTCGCACAATTGCATTTATTTTATTTTTTTAATCGCTGAATTTGATTAATTCTTAATTCCCTTTTGTCCGTCCATGTGGAACGATACTCGTACTTTTACCACTATTCTACCATCAATTCAAGTGCGAGAAAACTCACATCAGAGTTCCACCGGGTAATGTTCTTTTATTCACAAATGCATTAGAAGTATTAAAAAAATAAATAAATTTAATTGCAAAAAAATCAAAATAAATAATACATATATTACTATTATAGCGCCGATGCAAGTGTCGCTGGAGCTAAGACCGATTGATTCTTAAGTCATGAGATTGTAGGCCATGCACAGGAGCGAGGATGCGTGGCGTGGCCTGGATGTTCAGGTACATAGGTGTCGTGAGCACCTACGCACTATATTCGACATGCAGGTGGACGTCAGGATTGTACATTACGTTCGATTAACCAGTTTTTACGGTGTTCACAGATTAGTTTCGACTCTACATTTAGATAGATCATTACTTACCACTTTACTTGAGCGTTGGAGATAAGAGACTCACACTTTTCATTTACCCATTGGTGAGGGGACGATCACATTGGGAGATGTGGCTGTACTGGCAGGTTTATCGATCCAGGGTCGTGCAGTTATTGGGACTGCATGTAGAATTTGGGTTGATATGGTACACAGATTGTTGAGAGTACGCCCACAACCCGGGACAAATATTCGGGGGTCCGCATCGAGGACGACTTGGTTGAGAGCGCATTTTATTGCTTTACCTGCTGATGCTGATGACCCTGTTGTGGAGTAGTATGTGAGAGCCCACATTTCGATGTTTATGGGAGCCTCTACATTTGCGGACAAGAGCGGTAATGAGGTGCACGTCCTGTACTTACCCATTATGGAGATCTTTCATGTAGCAATGCTTTATAGTTGGGTAGTGCGACTTTAGCATACTTATATCGATAGGGGTGTCGAGGTTGCCATTGTGACTGCGGCGAGATGGGTGGTTTCTTATTGTTCATACAACTATGGTCGTCGGAGCACATTCATATTGGCAGACCTGTCATACTGCGATATCATGGGGTAGATGGTGATCCTCTTCATGATGCTTTGGACCAACACGATCGATCTGTACATTGTACCACATCATGTCCGTGGCGAGGACCCTTTGGGTCCTAGGTACGTTTATGAATTTTGTTTTTTTTTTCAAATTTATGTATGATGTACTTGAATCCGTTTTATACTCTTGTACATTACTGTGTGTCAGATGGCTTTTTGCTGACGTCATGCACACGTCATCCACAACTGGATTATGGTACTATCGAGATGCATTAGATCACATGTGTGATGATCAGGTGTATCCCGTATATCTTTAAGTGTAAGTACTATGTTTTACGTGTTTATAAACTGTGATGTCACAATATTTTGTACTATAGATGACTTGGATGTCATACACTCATGAGATTCTTGGACAGTTGCCTCCTGTTATCCTAGAACACACTGAGACATGGCGAGCACGTGCGTCCTTGATACGTTTTTGATATAGTGGAGCATCACTTTCCTGATCACGTATTACAGCAGTTCAGGTTGCAACAGGTTATTCCCACACCTTGTGATACTTCTGTGGACTTACACAAGATCGATAGACGAGGGAAGTACACCGAAGTGGGGGATGAACCATATTTAGTATATCATCATGTGAGATGAGAGATTGGTGTATATAGTGCACAAGACCCCATCAATAGCCCCACAGTTCTGCAGATTACATGAGATGGTATTATACCATCACACGAGTGTTCATCTCTTCCACTTTTCGTCTACCCACCGATCATTATCAGCCAAACTCAGTCCCTCTTCATATGATGGTAAACCAATATTCAGTAATAACCATGTTTGCATTACAAAAACAGGCTTTGCGTACCATCCATGACACAAAGAATGTTGTACTTGATGAGGCGATAGATGTACATGGATATCATGAGGTATGCTCGGGCATTTACTGGACTGTGTGATGATGTATTGGGCCGAGTAGATTATTGATATATGGCCGCCTCTCAGTATTTCACGGCATCTACATCCACGACAGGATCTTCTCAGGCTTTACAACATGATAGAGTTGTTCTTCAACCTCGTAACCGGCACAGACACCCCCCGACCACATGCATAACCACAACCACACGCAAATGAACTTTATGATGATGATCACGTTGACTTGTGGTACATTATTGTGTGAAACATGCACTAGCTGATCGAATTATTTTGTGAAACACTAGATTTATTATCAACTTTATGTGGTATTTCAAGTATCGTGATCCAATATAATTTCATTGATTGGTTTTGTGTGTCAGATATATTTTATTTTTGTAGAAATGCATATTAATCTATAAAGTTAAGATGTTCATTTTTAAATTGAATGCACTGTAATCAGTGGCAGACCCAGAAAATCGGAGTCACGGGGTCCCTACCTTAATGTGAGTCTAACCAATAAAAGATTAAAAAAAATGTAAGTATATAATATTAAAGTAGCATAACATTTCATAGTTAATGTACATCATCAAAATATTAAGAACTTTTATCAATTCAGGACCTTAAAGATAGATAAATTATAAATTCGGTACCCGAAAGATGAAATGTATTAATATAGGACCCGAAAGATGAAAATTATCAATCTAGGATATAAGATTTCATAGATTTTGATTTATTTATTTTTTATTAATTCCTTTGCTAATTTTTGATAAACTTTTTTCCACAAAAGTTTATTAGTTTAATAAAACTAAATAATATTTAAAAATTTTAACATAAAAAATAATAAAAATTCATGACAATATAGGTCCGAGATTGATAATCTTCAATCATTCAAGTCCTAAATTGACAATTTTCATCATTTGAGTCTTATATCTATAAATTTCTTCTTTCAGGTCTCGGATTGATAATTTATTTACCTTTTAAGTTTTGAATTGATAAAATTCCAAACATTAAAGTAGTACAACGTTTCATAGTCCCTACTATGACGCAACTCGTCTTGAACATTATGATGCAAATCAACAATTTTTTTCTCAACCCGGGATAAGCTTCTAAAGATTCAAAATAAAAATGTTGATCATGTGTATTGTCAGTCAAATTAATTTCATATTCACCAATTATTTTAATCAATTCTTCACTTAATAATGGAAAATCATAGTAGAAATTTTAATAATTAATTGAATTATGTAAAGTGTAAAGTTGGGGATTTTTAAAAAAGACAAAAGGATGTAGTTGTGATCTTTTACAATAATAAATCAAAAAAAAAGAGGAATAGCAGGGAGGGGGAATCGATCCTTGTACCTCCAGGAAAAGTAAAATTTTTTAAAGCCTTTCCTCCATTGCTCTACTCCATTCTTTAGGATTCATACTTGTTTTTGTGTTATATATACATTTATAAGTAAATTTTAAATGAAATATATAAAATATATAGGTATTTTTTTGGAAGTACGCGGGGTCCCAGGACCCCGTGGGACCCTTAGTGGGTCCGCCCCTGACTGTAATGATCAGATTTTTGTTGACTGCACTGTTAGAAGCATGTTTTTCGTTTAATGGCATGTGCATGTCTTTACGGTACACAAGAGCCGCTATTTAGAGTGACGACTTTTGTACTGCACAGAAGAACCGCCACTTCGAGTGACGACTTTCCTTAACCGTGATTAACTCTAATAGTATCTTGAAAATTCTTTTTAATCCAACAATACTTTGAAAATTATTTATTTAATTAGGGGATTTTTTTAACCATTCATGGCAACTTCCAATTATATACTGTATCATACACTATTTTAATGTGATATACGGGAAGTACAAATTGAGAAACAGACGCGACGGTATTACTAGTACGTAGTACGACAGTATAAAATTGGCATTTGACTGATATTATTATTTCCGAATTCCACAGAAATCTAATTACCACCAACTCAGCAAAAACCCCACAACCGATTTGCATTGACCCTCCTTTCTTCCTATCTCAGATCTTCCCTCTCTCTGTCTCTATCCAATGTTGCATTAAAATCCCTTTCTCCGTGTGAATGCACATCGATGTAGATTAGGGTTTTGTTTGATTGCTTTCCTGAATGATCCAACAGAAAAAAAACCCAAAAAGAAGAAGAAACAAATGCTCTTCAATTTTCTGCTCAGGCAATTAATTGGGGTCGCGATCTCTAAAATTAATATACTAACTCCTTCAGATTTCCAAATTTGCAACAGTGCGTGATTTTTTCTCTTGTTGTTGACAAGAAGAAAAAATACCTATGACGGTGGGCTCTGAGAGCTCAGCTGAGACCTCTCCTGCATCAACTGATGCGCCGCCGCTGAAGAAATACGGAGTAACAAGGCCTTTGTCTCTGACTGGGCCATCCGAGGCAGATCTTCATAGAAACGCAGCACTCGAAAAGGTGATATTTTTCGTAAATCTACTTGCTTTTATTCTCGACTGGTTTATTTTTTCGAGAAGTTACATTCTTTTGGGGAAGAGGAAGTTCTCTATCCAAATTGGGGATTGAATTTGAATTAACTTTGTTGACTTTCGATTTGAAGTTTCTGAGGGATTCCGAGCTGTACGAGAGTGATGAAGAAACTGGAAAGAGAGAGGAGGTGCTGTGCCGACTTGACCAGGTAACGTGTTGTTAAGTTCAATAATCAGTGGTGGGTAATCAGGCGGTCCTTTGCATTTAATGAATGTGCTAATAATCTCTTGTAAGATTAAGCTATAATTTTTAAACTTTTTGTTGTCCAATTAATTTGTGAGGTAGGAAAGCATATATTACATGTCTTGGAAGCAGATAATCTCTATGTGTAGTACTAACATTGAATGGGAAGATTTGTTTCTTGCTCCTTGATTGAAGACTTTAGAGTTTAGACTTACAAGGCTATGGGGACTGAATATGTTTTAGTAGGTTTCAACTTGCAACTCTCTAGGTTAAAACCCAAAGATGATAATGAGAAGCTTGAGCTAAGTCCTGTTTATCTCAATTGTCCAGGGGAAAAGACCATCACCATTTCAATCTAGTCAACATAAACCATTTAATCCGAAGTCCTAAATGGCTATTAAGTATCTACCTCAGATTTTCTCATGTGTAGACAGGTGAGAAACCTGTATCGCCACATATTTTTTTAATGAGATATGAAGTGCCAATTGTGCAAACTCATGTTTCAAGCTTGGTACACGTAAGGGGTGTTAGATCTTAGGATAGGTGGAGCATAAACACATATGAGACTAGTAAGATTTGATAACTAACACATATGCATAAAAATAATTTGTTCATAATATTATTTCCATTTCAGAATACAAGACTTGACCTAGTATAAAGTTAACTCTCTCCACATAGTCTTTAAATTGGTGTTAGTGATTCGAGTTTGCATACTTTGAAATCACACTAGAAGTTTCACTGAACTGCAAAGGACGGATTTGAATTTAGGTAAAGAATATCATGATGAAGTAAAGTTAAAACTTTTATGAATATTGAAAATTCGTTATTCATAGAAAAGAAAATTTCTTAAATAGGACTAAAACATAGACAAATGCTCAAATAGGACCACCAATATTTCCCCCTAAAATAGTACTCATTCACTCCTAATTGGGGAAGCTTTACACTTTTAATAGGATCAAATAAGTTCCATATTGGGAATAAAATATAAGTATTCCTTTTGGCGGTATGTGCACTTTCTCTATGTTTTAGTCCTATTAAGAGAAATTTCTTTTCATACAAGGCTTGAAAAGATGGTTTTAAGTCTTGAGATGCTATGAAGTGTAATTGCATAAGCATAAGCCTTAAAACTATAAGCTTTTAAAAACTGAAATCACAAATATGTGACACATGATATTTAAGAAAACAAAAGTCATAAACTTAAAATCTCATAAGCCACTTAGACACAAAATAATGTTAAGACTTTGGGTAACCAAGAAGCTAGAGAACGTTCACAACACTATAACTCTTGGCTTTTAGTGGGCTTTAAGCTTGCTGACTAATGATAAAAAGGCCGAATATGTCTTTCAAATGTAAACTATAATCCCAAGACACAATATTTTTATTTTCTTGAATTTGAGGCTTTAAGACTTAGAACAAGCGCCTTGAGGTGTGTGGGCTGCAAGTCTCAATCCAATTACCCGAGGCTTAAGCCTCAACGAGTCAACAAGTTGTTGTACTGCCTCAAACTCGAGACTCATCATTTAAAACGATGATTTCATAAGATCTTAGTTTTACAACAAAGTAATAATTCATGTTTAAGCTAAAATGTATAAGAAAACAGCAAACTCTACACATCTAGCAAATTACTCAATCAATTTTTTTTATCATAGTAAGCATCTTCACCAGTTAGTAGTCTTAAGTAATTTTTCTTCATGTAAAAAACTTCATTTTCATCATTATTCATGGTATCTTCACCTATAAGCTAATCTAAATCACAAATATTTAAATCATCTAAAGATGCCAAACACCATAATTCACATAATTTCCCATGGGATACAAATCTTTGTTTGAAATATCCGAATTTGAGTAATCAGCATTGTATGCAATCCTGTTATCTTCAAAATCAAGGTCATTCTTACCATACACTATTGCTTACCTGACTTCCTTTTCTTGCTAAACTTTGGATTTGCCAATAATACAGATCACACATGTATCTCTTCTGTGTGGAACAATTTATTGTCTTGGTGCTTACCCCTAAAAAGCAATAACAAACGTAGTATCACATAAATACATGATTGTCACCAACCAACTTTAAGAATAAGATCCACTATAATTTTGAAAGTTAACATTTTCACCATGTCTAACACATTCCTTTTCCTGTCACATTACGAAAAACTGCATGTCATGTTTAAGATATAGAAAGCAAACTTTTGCAATTCTTGGCACTCACTGCCCCAAAGTCTCCATTAATGTTGGAGTTTTATTGGTTTTATCTGATATGATTTTTCCCCATCAAACTGCCCAAAAAGTCCAGTTCACTTTTAAAAGCTTTAAGGTGAAAACTGAAAACCAATCCTTCCACATTGAAATGTAATTATGTAAGGATTATAATGCAAAAAGGGTTAAGGTAAAAATCGACTGCTTGCAAAGACATATATTTGGCTGTCCGGCTGCTGTCCTATATTTGATCAACGATTTCCTATATTGTACAACGTTGAATAACAATTTACCTTTCCTTAACACCATTGGAGGAATTTTGTGCGATTTCTTCAGAAGTGCATCTCATCATGGATGGACCACATTTCGTGCATACTATCAGAATCTACTTAATGAAGTGCTTCACTAATGGACAATACACCTCAAGGAAATCCCATGGTTTCTAAAATTCTTTATGCACTATATATTTGACAAACTTCACATCCTTACTCCTTGCAACCTGATTATATTTCCATGCTTTAGATGTGAACATTATTACTACTTACTAGGCTCTGTTGTCATTCAAACAACCCAAAGTTAATGAGGTAGCTGGTCTAACCAAGGTGTCTCTTTTGGTAAAGTGATGCAATAAAGAAAAAGGAGCATCCTGTACTTAATGTAGGTTGTAATTCTCAACAAGCTTATCAAGCCCCACATCTTGCTATGTGGGACGGTGAGTCTATTTGTCAATTTAGGAAATTTCTATAGTCCTGATTGGAACTCTCACTCCTCTCTTGGTTGCAAATTTTAGTTCATTACCTGGGAAGTATCCTGGATTATTCGGAAGCAGTCTGTCTGTGCTTTAGTATAGGGGTAAGGCTGCGTACATCATACCCCCCCTTACCCCACCGTAAGTGGGAGCGTTTGCGGCACTGTGGTAATGTTGTTGTTGTTGTACTTGGGAAGTATCCTATTCTTAGGAAGTACAGTAACCCGCTTATCCTTATTTGCTATTTTCTTGCTTGATGACGTCAAATATACATTTGACAGTAATACAATGACCTATTTTCTTGTCACTCACCCTTCTGAATTGAATTATGCATTTCAGACTGTGAAGCTCTGGGTAAAGCAATTGACCCGCCAGCGAGGTTACTCCGATCAAATGGTGGAAGATGCAAATGCTATTATATTAACTTTTGGCTCCTATCAGTTAGGTGTAAGTAAATCTTTTAGTTCTTTTATGTGCGTTATAATTTAGGACACAAGGTTTATTGTGTCAAGGTTTTATTTTTTTGTTTTTATAAAATATAAAATTTGCAAATTATCTGGCTCTAAATTTAATGCATAGTTTTTTATTCTCTGAATTGAGTTCAAATCTTCTTGTAATATCTATTTGTTTGCTGTCTCTTTATTAGACAGCCCCTGTGGTCAGATGATCGTTTGCATGCCATTAAATCATAAACTTCAAAGAGGATAGTTTGTGTCAAACGCATGATACTATATGAGTAGCTCGCTATTTTTGGTCCCATGACACTGTTTTTGCATTTTGGATTTTAACTATTTTCAATGTTATGAAACATCCATTAAAAACTGCATTGTAGCTTATTATTCTCAGCGCTCGTAATAGCGTAATTCCTGATCTTATGAATGATCAAGTGGGGAGTGTTCGACAATGATCGATAAAATAGCTTAAAGGAAATGGTGGATGGAGACACATAATGGGCTGTTTGTCTATATATGTTAATTATTTGAATTTAATAGGACAATGTATTAATCTGAATTGGCAGTCTTGAATGAGTTGTCCTAAATCCTAAGTCTCAAAGGCTCTTACCTTGCTATGAACTCAATGAATCTAATTTAGCGTGAACAATGGCATCAGAAATTTGAATGTAGACCCTCTTAATTAGATTTTGGAAATAAAGGACTACAAACAAAAATGACGGATGAGCTTAAAAAATGAATGTTGCAGGTTCCTTAAATAGTCAAATTTGAATTAGTTTGAAATGTCATGAAATATTATTGATTTTTTTGTTAGTCTCTTGACCCTTGTATAGTAGATGAAGGAAAATATTTTGGTGGAATCCCCCTCCCCCCCAAGGCTCAGCAGCATTATGATATGAAGAAACACTTGCTGATATTCAAAACAATAGTTATGCGCTTTAGCTATTCCATGGCAAGATTTCGATTATTAGCCTGGTCTTTGTACTTAAGTTCTTCCTCTTGGAGAATCTATTAACATTTCTTTATAGCATTGTTGTTGGATAAGGTATAAGATACTGCCTTTTAGGCACGCGTTAGGATGTTCATTCCGATAAATAATAAAATAGCATGACTTCAAAGATTCATATAATTTGTGCTCGACTACTTCATGGGCAATATTGGCGAATCCCATATGCTGAAGCAAGTACTCCAAGCAGTGGTATGTAGCTTTGCTAGATTGCAAATCTCATATATGAAGCAAGTACTCCAACCAGTTGTATGTAGCTTTACTAGCTTGGTGAATATGAAATTGGAAATTAGGCGATGGATGCTTCACATCATAGCTTTTACTTCAAAAAATGGCTGTAAGGAATAAATAGATCCTAATTAGGCATCAACGTTTGAAGTAATAAGTGAATTGGGTTTTGATTCATTATGACTATGAGTATGACAAATCCTGGACTTAGGCCACTGAAATTTATGTTATATTATACTATCTATTAACCTAAGGCTGTAGTTCACTGCATTTACCACATTCAATTCTTCAGACAGCAAAAGATTGAAATTAAGCAAGTACTCCAATCAGTTTTACACTTTTACTAGCTTTTTGTATATGACTTGGTGATTAGGCTATATGTTGTTTCATATCATAGCTTCTAGCCTTCTAGTGCGCAATATATGCCTGGAAAGTGTGGTTTGCGCAGCGTGGGTATCAAAGTTTCATGTAACATGTTATCTGTGTTAGTTGGGTTTTAAACTTTTAATTCATTACGACTATGTTTATGAGAAAATGCTGACCATATCCTACCCAAATTTCTATATTTTAGTATATTAACATATAGCTCTAATTTATTGCGGTTATGAAATTCAATTGTTCTAATGGTAAGAACTTGAAGTTTCCCTTAGCACATTATGTGTCCACAAGTGATATTTCTTGTAGGTTCATGGACCTGGAGCTGATATTGACACATTATGCATTGGGCCATCTTATATTAATCGAGACGTGAGTTTTTAGTAGTGGATGAGATATGTTTAATTTGGTACGGTTAATCCTTTAACCATTTAGAGTTACACTTAGGTGTGTGTTCTTTCTGCAGGAAGATTTTTTCATTATTCTGCGAGATATTTTAGTTGAAATGGAAGAAGTTAGTGAACTTCAACCTGTTCCTGAGGCTCATGTTCCTGTTATGAAATTCAAATTTCAAGGAACATCAATTGACCTCCTATATGCAAGCATTTCCCAAATAGTCGTCCCACAAGTAAGCTTAAATGAATCTACTTCTTTTTGCTTTTTTGAACCCCTGGCTTCACTGTTACTTAAACAAGATTGCAAAGATAGTTTTTTGTTTTGTTTCCAATCTTAATTTTGTCTCATCCTCTGACCCAGTAGTAAAAAATCTGAAGTATAAAAGACTTGTACATCGGTGATCAAAATATCAAAATGTATATTCAGTGAGGCTGCATTACAATTAAGCAACCTCTATCATTCAATGTACTCATGTAGGACTAGCTATGTCATGCAAAACATAGGTTATGGCTCTTAGTTTACTAGTCTTGAAGAGATAATACATCTCCATTTTAAATGTTTTGACCAATTTTGTTAGTTTTTCTCAACAATGCCAAAAGGGTGGATTCTGAATTTCTTTCTCTAACACTTGGGCATTTCTTTTATAAATAAGTGTAATTGGAGCATTTTCAGTTGAACTACAAGCTCTGTAAAATTGAATAAATAAAAGAACTCAATTGGATTTGTTGAATCTCGGGAAAATTTGATGTCAATTTGTCAGATATTAACATGATGTCTATGTAAGGGCACTAAATATAAATTGAACGTCAGCACTTAATACCCTTTTTATGCCTTCACTATGTCAACAGGATTTTGACATCTCTGACCGTTCTGTGCTGTACAATGTTGATGAGCCAACAGTCCGAAGCCTCAATGGGTGTAGGGTTGCGGATCAGATTCTGAAACTAGTTCCCAATGCTGAGGTAGCATAGGTTTCTGAATCATCATGACTTTGATTATTATTGATCTCAACCTTATTTTTTATTTATACTGTTTAAAGCACTTCCGGACGACACTTAGATGCTTGAAATTTTGGGCAAAAAGGCGTGGCGTCTACTCAAACGTAAGTTGACCCCCACCCTATCAGACCTCTTTCTGGGATGGTGAAATCTACATTTATATTCTGTTTGGTGTGTCTCTCGAATAGGTCACTGGATTTCTTGGTGGTGTGAATTGGGCTCTTTTAGTTGCTCGTGTTTGCCAGTTTTATCCCAACGCAGTCCCCAGTATGCTGGTTTCACGATTCTTTAGAGTTTATACACAATGGCGCTGGCCGAATCCTGTAATGCTATGCCCTATTGAGGAAGATGAACTTGGGTTTCTTGTTTGGGATCCTCGCAAGAATCCTAAAGATCGAACTCATCATATGCCAATAATTACCCCTGCATACCCTTGCATGAATTCTAGTTACAATGTTTCACCAAGTACCCTTCGTGTTATGATGGACCAATTTGAATTTGGTAACAAGATTTGTGAGGTAAAACTCCCAAGTTAGATTGTTATGTTATGGCATTCATCTCCTTTGTCTGTCTACTGCAATGTGTGATTATGTTTTCTTGTTTATTTCTACATCCAGGAGATTGAGTTGAACAAGTCGCAATGGGGATCTCTTTTTGAGCCTTATTTTTTCTTTGAGGTGTACAAAAACTATCTTCAGGTTGACATTATTGCAGCAGACAATTATGATTTACTGGCATGGAAAGGATGGGTTGAATCACGTCTCAGGCAACTAACACTTAAGGTGAAAAAAATGTCTTCATAAATATGACCGTGGTGATGAAAAGTTCTCTCCTTTTCATCCTTCACCTCGGACCCCTTTTTCCCAAGTGGATGCTTATTTTCTACTTCATGTCTTCTCTGTAGATTGAGCGTGACACAAATGGGATGTTGCAATGCCATCCTTACCCAAATGAATTTGTGGATACGTCTAAGCCTTGCCCACATTGTGCATTTTTCATGGGCCTTCAGAGGAAAGAAGGAGTGCAAGTGCAGGAAGGGCAGCAGTTTGATATTCGTGGAACTGTTGATGAGTTCAAACAAGACATAAGCATGTATTCTTATTGGAGACCAGGGATGGATATATTTGTCTCTCATGTACGTAGAAAGCAAATTCCTGTTTATGTCTTTCCTGAAGGGTATAAGAGACAACGACTGCCCAGGACCCCACAACACTGTACTACACCCACTCCTGAGAAGGAAATCAAAGGCTGCATGTCTTCTGAAGACAGGCTTCCCAAAAGGAAGCACAATAACGAAATGAATGATGTGCAATCTAACAAACTTGGGAAGCAAATGTCTGTTAGTCCACAGCGGATAGGCTCAGATTCTCCTGCTTCTGCTGGATTATCTCCAATGTTGGACATTTGCAAGGAGTCGCAACTGGAGCATATGAGCACTGTTGATGTGTTGAGAAGTGGGTTGGCTGGTAGTTTAAATGGACAATTTGAGAACACGGGTACATGGGTTTGTGCTGAGAGTGTACTGTCATATTCCAAGATCTGTATCAATAGTGAGGTTAGTTCCTAGTTTTTTTAGTTCATGAGCGTCATCTGAGCATGAGCGTGACCATTTATGTGGTCCATGTAATCAATTGTGCATATATCTCTTTATCATGCTCAATGTCAAGCCTCTCAGTTTGGGAGAGTGTCCTCTTTATCTGTTAGGATAGGGTGAACTCTTCACTGCTATAAATTTGATCTTTAGAACTTAGAATACTCTCATCACATCAGATGCCTCTCAGTTCAGGAGAGGATTCAGATCCATTATGAGGGAACTTGCAATGTATATAACTTCACAATTTCATAACCTCTAAATACAATTACAGTGCTTCTATGTAGTAATAATTGGCCTCAGCCCAATATGATTAAAGCATTCATGTTCCCACAGCTACTTAGTATAATTATTATATTTCAATATTGTAATACAATTCTATATTTAACACATAAAAATATGCTCTAAGCTTGAGAAAATCTGAAAAGCTGGGAGAAGGGTTTTCTATTTTCTCAATTTGTGAAATTGGTGAAGCAAACTTGTTTACTGTTTTCAAATTCTGAAAAGCAGAAAAGTAAAGAAACTTTTTGTTTCCATTGTTTGAATTCCAAAAACAGAAAACTTCGCCAGCTAGTGAATAGTTCTCTAATATTTTAAAATTAGGTTTTACTGTATATCATTACTTTTGCAGTTTAAGATATTTCTATATGTTATTTCTAAAACTAGGACTTGTTGAACATCTGCACTTATATATTTCAATATGCTTTTCTGTATTACAATAGTGAGTAATAAAGGGTCCTTGCAGGGTAATGTAAGCTTAGGGGAGCAAATTGCACAGCCAGGGGATGAATGTCTAGATGAAAGGGGAGTACTGGGGAGTGCCTTGCCTGATAAACCGAAATCGCAGGTGAAGTATAGAAGTTTTTGTTTCCTTTCAATGAATACATCATCATCCTTGTACTTCTGTAAACCAAAACTTTTTTGTCATTATGTGCTTTTCCATGTCAGTTTTCATTCACATCTTCTTTTTGTTAGGATCTTTCTGACTACTGAAGAGCTGGAATGTTGTTGATATAATTCAGGATATTCTTGAAGTTGGGTTCTTAAAATTTGTAAGCATATGGCAAGCCTTATGCAGATCTTGCAAAATACAAGAGCAGCTTGTATTGGTTAATTCATCCGGTTTTAAGTATCATATTATTTCATGGAAGATGAAAAAGCTCCCTTATTTTTGAAAGGATGCAAGTTTTACAGGCGGTTGATTTTAAGCCTTAAGGGGTCTAGACGTGATGATAGCTTGATATTTATAATTCTTTATTTTCTTTAGTTTACTACTCATAAAGACACTAAACTCTTCATGCATGGGTGTAGTTATAGCTGGTCTTCAATTCCGATGTCTGAGATTCGAATAAAGAACACACTCACAAGCTAAGGGGTTTTATTTCTAATTATCGACTTAATCCTGTTTGTTGTTTTCTGCCGTGTAGCCAAACAATGCACCCACAAGGGTAATTGGGTCATCAAGAGACAATGCAAGCCCAGAAACTGCACAGGAGCCAGCGATAAGGCATGCCTTTGTTCAAGAACCCCTTTTTATGATTTGAAATATGCTAAAGTTATTTTTATACTTTCTTGCTTGTATTTTTCTCCGTCTCTCTCTGTAGCAGGTTGAGTCTGGAATCAACTGCGTGAGGGAGTGGCGATAATGTTCCTTAACAAAGTTCGTGAGGGCATCCAATGGAAAAGTTTTATTTGATTGGATATGTTGATGAAGACTTCTCTCTTGTACCTTTCTTTGCAAGTTGTGGTTGGAAGCAGGGGGCCAAGAAGTTCTGCAAGAATGGAAACTTGTGCATTTTGTACAATGGAACGGACAGTGGAAAGAGAATTAGTTGGTGGGAGGTTTGATCTGTGTGGTTCTGCCTGTTGGCTTATCATCAAAAAAGGAGCAAAACAAGAAAAAAGAAAAAGAAAAAGCAATGGCACAATTGTGTAGGAAATTTGAAAATTTTCGTTTTATTAATCTTTGGGGTTGGGAGTGGGCTGGGCTTTAACTGGGTAGTAGTGCTTTAGTAATGGTTTATGAGACTTATTGCCTTTTATGTATAACTTTCTTCTTTGTGATCATATATATTAACATATAGCTAGACCTCTAATTACCTCTACGGCTCTACTGATGTTATATGTTTAGTAACGAAACTAATGGCCAATAGGAAGACTGGAAGTTAAATTTTTACGCGGATTTACCATCATAATTTGAGTTGACTCAAGCGGTTGTTGGCACTTTCTCATGGTTTCTTGATTTCCACATTTTCCTTTGATCAAGTTATACTCCGTATTTTTATTTAGTTATCAGGCTGTAGGGATATTTCTCTATATGATTTTTAGAATATATATCCCGTTTCTAAAATGATCACATTGTAGAATGTAGACACGTGAAACTGTGAAAGTATATCTTGTGGGAAATTGTACATGTTAGAATTACGACACATTCTATTATTAGACACAAAATAGACATCTTCAACTCGTACTGCTAATAATGTTTTAGGAGTAACGTTCATTTTAGTAACACATATCATTGTGCTTTTCAGAGAGTTGAACCAACTACTTGCCCAATAAAAAAGTTAAATAAAGATGGTATAATTTTGAATACTGATTACTGAATGAATAATCAGCCATACCTAAACTTGGATGCTGGTCAAATTGATACCCATTACATGTGTGCTCCCCTGGCATTTCTACCATTTGAGTCCTTCCCCTGTGCTCTTGTAGTTTTAGGATATTTTTACTTGAATTGAGATTTTCTAGTTTGGTTTGTTCTGATATGAACTGGTCTGGTTTGATCTGAATAATGGTCTGAACTGGTCTGGTGTGGTCTGATCTAGTATGATTTGGGACCGAAATAAGTAAAAACATAAGAAGACAATACAAGGGATGGACTCGGGTCCGGGCCGGGTCCGGGTCGGGCCTAGGCCCGGGCGGGCCGGCGGTTCAGAAATGTTGGACTCGGGACCGGCCTGGGTAACCACCGGGTCCGGTCCGGGCTGGCCCATTATCATTTTTTTTTGTTTTCCTCTTCCTAATTAACTCCCCTCCCACCCCCAACCCCCCAAACCACCCCAAATGGCCCAAAATATCCAGCGCAACCCGAAAATTTAAAAAAAATTGAAAAAAAGGTTTTGGCCCGAACCGGGCCCGGCCGGGTCGGGCCTTGTTTTGGGTGACCCGAGCCCGGATCGGAAAACCCACGAGCCGGGCCTACCCGGACCGGTCACTGACCGGGCCACCGGGTCGGGCCGGGCCGGAACAGTACTGGTCTCGGGCCGGTTCCGGGTCGGGCCACCGGATATCTCTTGCTTTGTGTTAAAGTCCCACACAGGATATCTCTGAAAGAATTAAACACTATATGAAGATATGAACTATTCCTCCTATCAGGTTGACCTTTGAGGATGAAAACTCGAGTCTTAACATGGTATCAGAGCCAAATCGATCCATGGTGTGAACCCCCTTATGAGAAATGATGACACGTTTATAAAAAAAATGACAATGACGAACCGATGAAAAAATGAATGATAGCACGATCCAGAAGAAGTGTCTGGTCGTGAGGAGGGTGTTAAAGTCCCACACCGGATATCTTTGAAAGAATTAAACACTATATTAAGATCTAAGACATTCCTCCTATTAGGTTGACCTTTTAGGATGGAACCCTGAATCTTAACACTTCGCCAAAAAATCAAACCCCACCATCACCCATCCACTCTGGGATTCGAGATATAAGGAGCATGATGATTGTGAAGAGGAGGAAACCTATGAATTATAGCTTGGGAGAACCGATATTAATTAAACATTATGAATGAATTAAGATCTATGATTGGTGAAAAAAGTACCGTCACCATAAGAGTTGTACTAGTAACACTAAAATAGCAGACGAAAAATCAATATTTTAGGCTTCTGATTTTTGATGTTAGTAATATTGTAAGAAAACCTATAAACACCAACCAAGCATATACAAAACGAGTTGGTTTGCATCTTAGATGTTTTCGGACCATGAGAGTCGCCTAAACCAATCATTGAAATTGACAGGTCCTACAACCACGAGAGCGGAGAAGGAACCTTTGTCCATATCCCTTTCTTGAAATGAAATTTTTAGATGTTCTGGCCCGAGTTTTTGTTGCCTTTTAAGTTCTCGGCATATACCCCTTTGCATCTTTAGTTCGAAGTTTGACTTCATTTTCATTGTTGTTCTTGTGCATGATGTCATTTATAAACTAAACTTCTATCTCAATAATAATGAGATTTTGGGATGAAGACCCTTTTAATGGGATTTTGGAACTCAAGGACTACAAACAAAAATAGTGAATGAGCTTAAGTAATGAATGTGGTTGCAGGTTTCTTATATAGTCAAATTTGAACTACTTTGAACTGTCATGATTTTTTTTTGAGACTTTTTTTGGTAGTCTCTTTCACGGTAGATGAACTCACATACTTGAAGCGAACCATTTTGGTGGAACTCTATGAAATAACCTCGCATGGTGCAGCAGCATTATGATCTGAAGAAGCTCTGCTTGATGTTCAAAACAATAGTTATGCGCTTTTGGAGTTCCATGGTAAGATTTGGATTATTAATCTGGTCATTGTACTCAAGTTCCTATCCTTGGAGAACCTACTAATATCTCTTATAGCGATGTTGTTGGATAGGGTGTAAGATACTGCCTTAATTGCAACGAGATCAATGTTTGAATTTCGTGGATACCAAAGACACAAGTACACGGTTCCACACAGATACTTGAGGTGGTATCCGGCCAGGGACGGACCGTAGTACAGACCCAGGGGCTACCGCCCCCTAACAAGAATTTTTTTAGTGTATATATATATGAAAAATAATTTTCTCCTTCCCAAAAAATATTTTGAACCCCAAAAAATATTTTCGCCCCCCAAGGTGACTTTTCTGGGTCCGCCCCTGTATCCGGCGCCGTGCTAGCAGCATCTGCAGCGGAAGAAGCCATATGACAGCTGGAACGAGCGGAAATAGAGAGACCCAAAAAAGAATTTAAGGTTTGGACTCTTCATACCACGTGAATAATTGGAGCAGGTTACCCTGATAAGGGTCCTGACAGATATATTTATAATAAAGGGTAGCTCCCAAAATACATAAGTCTCCTAAATTATACTCCCTCCGTTCCTAATAACTTTGCCAAGTTTGACCGGCACGAATATTAATAAAGTAAAAATTGTGTGGTTGAGGTTTGTGCAGAGGAGAGAGAATTAACTGAAACCACAAATTCTTTACTTAAAAGGGAAAATGGCAAAGTTAATGCGACATCCAAAAATGGAAAGTTGGCAAAGTTATAAGAGACGGAGAGAATATTAACTATTAGATTCTACTGAAATCTGTTAAATTCAGGTTGAATTGGTGTAATATGCTGAATTATGAAAAAATCATATTAAAATATATTTTGTTAATAAATGAAAAAAATTATATGAAAATAGAAAAACTCACCCTCTATACTAACTGTTGAGTTTAATCCAACACTGTCACGCCTCGTACCTATCCGGACACGTCAACAACCGTCATACAGTACGAATAGTCAACCGCAGTCCAACTCATTCATACTATACAAGGCGTCTTTGAATACCATTCACACATAGTACATCCATAAACAAACATAATGTAAAACATTCGTTTAAAGCAGCGGAAACATTATTACAAGTGTTCAAGACACACTTGGCATAATTAGGCATGTAAGCCCCCAAATAATTATTCAGAAAAATAATATCCATGAGCACTTGTTTAAATATTTTTAAAACAAAAACGGAGGAAGCACGAACCACGCCTTCCTTCCTTGGTTCTCCCGAAGCAACGCGCACATGTAGCAAGCTCAACTCCTACCTGAAACAATGAGGCGGCCTCCCCCGTGAAGGGGAGGTCAGTACTTGGAAGCATTTGACAAGTACAATGACAACTATACTGATGGATAGTGTACCCAGGGGGTAGCTTATCCGAGGGGTTATTACGGTGAATAACCTAGAGAGAAGTCAGAGCAAGTAAGTAAGAGAGAGAGTCAAATGTATTAAATGAACTCGTTCCCTTTTACAAGGTGAATAAGGGCTGCATTTATAGCAGCTATAAATGCGATGAGAGTACACGTGTCAACAATCTAACGGCCGAGGGGTCACCTCAATCGGGGTGGCACCGACATATGCATGTGCACCGCATTAAATGCGGTGGGTGGATGTGACGCCGTATTAAATGTGGTGGTTGTCTGTCTCTAAAAGGAATATTCATCGATAGTTCTATTGCCGAAGGCATCATGTGGCCGAAGGCATCGGGTGGCCGAAGACATTGTGTGGCCGAAGGCATCGGGTGGCCGAAGGCATTGTGTGGCCGAAGGCATTATGTGGCCGAAGGCATCATGTGGCCGAAGGCATCATATGGCCGAAGGCATCGGGGGTGCCGAAGGCATCGGGTGGCCGAAGGCTAACATTTTAGCCAGGATTTTCCAGAAGCTTTGCAGGACCATATCAAGATGTCTCCCAGAAGCTTTGCATCCACGTGTGCAGCGTGGGCTTCTTAATGCTTGGGCCGCTACGTTTGGGCTTTGTGTGCTCATCGGGCTTGATGGGCCTGTGTAGAAGAAGCAGGAGTCTGTGGGCCGGGGTGTCCCGGGCCATATACTCCATCAGGAGTCCCCCACTCCTTTTGCCGAGAGTTTCTCGAGGGAAATAGGAGTAGTGTCTTGAAGTTGCCGATGACTCCCTTTCTGCAACTGAAGAATAAGAATTTTCAAGTTTGATTATTTTTGCTGAAGGGAGTAGATTGTCGTTGTGATCTTGCCTCAGCTTAATGTAGCTGAGAAATAGAAAATTTTTAATATTTGCGTGTTTTGCCGAGGGGAGTCCCCCAGCCCCCCACTCCTTTTGCCGAGAGTTTCTCGAGGGAAACAGGAGTAGAGTGATGCATGCCTTTAGTAGGAGCCACCAAGGGGTGACACCTTTTGTTCCACAATGGGGAGATGCCTCGTTAAAAACCTCATTAGGAAAAAACCCTATGGGAAAAAATCCTAATGAGGGAAAAAGAGTACACCGGATGCCCCCAGAATGAAGAAAAAGGAATGCACCCTTCGACCTAGATTGTTGAGCGGTGGTTGTGTCCGTCTGCTGAGGGGATATCCAAGACCAGCCTTAGATCCTGCATGAAAAAGGTCAGGAGCCTGTAAGGACCCCCCCGTTATCAAATAAAGGCGACGGAGGGGTGCAAGGCCAGGTGGGCCTGTGTGAGAGCCCCTGGCATCAAATACAGATGCCAGAGGGATG